GATGAAGAAACAAAAGGAAATCATGATCATTTTAAGAGACAGTAAGTTAGGCCGATTTGGAAAGATGCTTTGTATGTTAATTAAAATTTTAGGGAAATTACATAATGAGTCCATTAACTAAAACAACTTATACTTTGTTTAAAATTTAAGTGTGGACAGTGCAATAAATTTGGCATGTGTTAGGTGCAACTTCAGAAGTTAAATTTCAGGCATATTAATGTTGAGTAAAAAAATTCTTTAGGTCGCCTTTGTAAGCAGCTGAAACTGGTATTAATGGATCTTTTTAGGTTAACATATCCTCTTTAAAAAGAACTATGTGAGACCAGCAGATGGCGTAATATTTACGTTGCTGGACTCCCATTTAGTCAGCCACAATTTGATTCCTGGATCCGGCAGCTTAAAACTCAAGCCAGATGTGTGTTACATGCCCAAAATCCCAGGAGGAGTGTGGAGGAGAAGGGATTGAGGTGTTGTCATCCTTCCGGAGGAAAGTTGCTTTCTGTCTCTCCAGCAAACACAAGTACCCTATAGCAAAAGTCTCTCTCTAAAAAAAAAAAGAGAAAGAAAAAAAGAACTTCGTTTATGGACCAGCAAGTGGTGCAGTGGTTGGGTCAAATGGGTCCCACATGGCCTATTGCAGTTTGAATCCCAGGCTCTGTGGTTTGAAAAACACTGGGCACATGTGTATTCATGCCCAAAATCTCAAGAGGAGAATGGAAGTAAAAGGGATTGTGGTGTGGCTAATCCCTCCCAGCGAGTGCTCTATCACTATTTCTATCTATGTCTTTTGCACATGCGTGCGCTAGTGCACACACCCTATGACAGATTTTTAAAAAGGAAAAAAAGAACTTGGTTTAAAATAAAGCCAGGGTCCCAGCAGGTGGATTGGTGATTAAGGCGCTGGACTCCCACATAGTCAACTATGCAGTTAGTGTCCCAGACTTGATCGCTTGAAAATCATACCAGGCACTTGTGCATGCTGGCCCAAAATTTCAGAAGGAGAATGGAGGAAAAAGGATTGAGGTGTGGCCATTCCCCTTGGAGGATGATTTCTTGTTTTTCTTCTCTCTCTCCCTGTTTCTCTCCTGCAAGCCTGTGTGTCCTATGGCAAAAACCTAAATAAACAAACACACAAAACCAGATAATGAGGGAATTTGTGAAGACTTGAGATGTATTTTCCTGTTGAACAGTTTGTAACCTGGGGGAAAGTTTCCTTTTTAGGGACCAGCAGTTAGCGTAATGGCTATGTTGCTGAACTCCCATGTAGTTGACCGCGGTTCACCTCCTGGACCCGGTAGCTTAAACCTCATGCAGGGTGCGTGTGCGTGCGTGCCCAAGATGCTGAGAGGAGAATGGAGGAGAAGGGATTGCGGCGTGGCCATCCCCCTCGGGGGTGATTTCTTGCTTTCTGTCTCTGTCTCTTTCTGTCTGTCTGGTGAGCGCATGCGCCCTGTAGCGAAAATCTCTCCAAATTAAAAAAAAAAAAAAGCTTCCTTTTTAAAAAATACGGTGATGAGCAAGTCAGATAAAATGGAAGAAAAAATTTAAATTACTTAATAACCAGGTTAAGTATGACACATACTGTTTACAAATTATAGAATTATTGTTAAATTTCTTAATTTCATGTGTGTAAGTCTTAGTCCAATCATTTTGCAGACCACAAAGTGACAGAAATATCATTAACTGATTGTGCAAACAGATTGATTTGTTCCTCTAACTGCAGGTTTTTTTTTTTTTTTTTAATAAGATGAGTCTTTGTCTTAATTAAATTGTGGAGTTTGGATCTTGAGTTTCATCTACCATGGTGAGAGATTAGTGGCCACCACATTCTCAGCTGTTGCACCATGTAGTTCTTGTTCTTGTACTATCTCTTCCTGTTCCTATAGGTCCTTGAAGAACCTAAAGGTGTCATAGCTTGTGTCAGCTCTTTCTGCCATTGGTTGTGATGTGTACTAAAGGGACTGGAATGAATGACAGTACAAAATTAGCATGTGCTTGCTGTGTAACAGGAGAGATGCTTATCGAGATTCCTCAGATTATGGAAACAATAGCGATGGTTTTATTATAATCCTTCGTAATGAAGGGTTTATTTTTAATCTTTGCAAATTAGTTTTGACTGTGTGTTTATATATAACATAGTTGCTGAGTAGTTTCGGAAGTTTTAAGTTTTTTGTTTGGTTGGTTGGTTGGTTTTAGATTTTTGCTATTGAGAGCATATGCTTGCCATAGGGACAGAAGGGAAAGTGAGAAATCACCCTCCAGGGAGAATGGCCATGCCTCAATCTCTTCTCTATTCTCCTCTCAGTATCTTGGGCATGCATGCACAGGCACCCGGCGTGATTTTCAAGCTGCTGGATTTGTGACTTGAATCACATTCAGCCATGTGACAGTCCAGCACCTTAAACACCATGCCACCTACTAGCTTCAAGAAATGCCTAGTTCATTTTGCATCATTCTGTATTTAGGCAAATAAAGTATATACAAAAAATATCATATACAATTTTTAAGAATGGAATCGAACTGTGTACTTTTTAGCTGTGGCTTTTAACTTAATATATGATGAACATTTTGTCCTTCGCTTTTTTGTTATGCGTTTGTTGGCCTTGTAGCATTTCATTGTCAGAATGTATTGCCATTTAATTAATTCTCCTTTGGATGTGTAAATTAGTTGCCTTAGCTTCATAGTACTTTTATCAAGTTACCTGGGTATTTTTTCTTTTCTTTTCTTTTTCTTTTTTTTTTTTTTAGAATGCTCTGAATTTTCCCTTTTTTTCCCTTCAAGTTCTGCCCGTTACTTGTATTGAGCATTCCATGTTTTGTTTAAAGACTCTTTAAAAGAGTCTTTCTCCAGTTATTACCTTAATGCCTAATTAATATATTGGTTAGACTTTTAAGGTATATATCAGTTTGAGAAGAGTGCATTTTTTAGTTAATTCTAATGAAAATTATGTAAAAGTATAACATATTTCTCCAGAGGTTCTCCCAAACTAAACATTTTAAACATCTTAATTTGGGCTGTGCTTTGTGATCCTTTAGACAAAAAGAGTGGATGGAGGGGAGACCAGCAGTTAGCGTAATGGCTATGTCGCTGGACTCCCACTTAGTTGACCATGGTTCGCGTCCCAGACTCTGTGGCTTAAAACTCACGCTGGGCACGTGCGCGTGTATGCCCAAGATCCTGAGAGGAGAAGGGATTGCAGCGTGGCCATCCCCCCTGGGGGGTGATTTCTCGCTTTCTGTCTCTCTGTCTGGTGAGTGCACACGCCCTATAGCAAAAACCTCTAAAAAAAAAAAAAAGTGGATGGAATAATAAATAAGACTATTAATTGCATTTCCCAGACTTTTGGCATTTAACTGGAACAAATGTGTCTGTACATGTGTAATTTCTTTTGTCCTAAGTCTGATTTCAACTTGCATAGTTTCTAATCCATTTTTGCTGTATGAAAAAATATTGCTGATATTTTATATCAAGAATTCAAGAACTATTTTCATATGTTCTCGCTATTTCTTGGCTAATATTTGTTCTTTTAATTTGTACTCTACCCAGGAAAAAATTCAAAGCTGAATAGTGAGGCAATATTTGATTAACCACCTAATTTGCTTTCCAAATTGAGTATATCTCCAATTTTCTGGATGATTGAAAAAAATCAGTTCTAGTCTAACCTGTTGCTAATAACAGAGTTTATCAGAGTCTGTGTAAGTTGAAGAATAGAAGTTTACTTAGCTCATTGTTTTATAGTTCTAAAGTCAAGGGGCCTCATCTGGTGAAAATTTTCTTGTTATTGAATAATCTGGTAGAAAGTAGAAGCTTGAGCAGAGCAGAATATGTCTGTCAGAGCTTGAGTAAATGTGTCTGCTGAGTTCTTGTCTCTCAGTCCCATTCCCTGTCCTTATAACCCCATCAGGACTCAAGCATGGGGGCCTCACTCTGATGCCTAATCACTTCCCAAAGACCCCACCTTTCAACAACATAATCATATTAATTCTCCTCTTAATACCTTCACAATGGCTCACCAAATTTTAACACAAAGAATTTTGGGGAGGATACATTCAAACATAGCATCAGCCTTATGTTGCTAAAACTGTGAGGGCACTTGTAAAATGGGTATCTTTCAAAATGACTCTTCTGAATGGGATAGTAGCATTTGGTTAAATGTGTTTATATATTTTGTTTCATGTTTAAACTTACTAGTTTTGCCAAATTTACTTATTAGAAAATCTGATATGGGTATCAGCATAGTTTTGATGTAGTATATTGAGTGCCTGTTCAGATGGGAACTTGAGACCTCTGTATGATATAGGCCACTGGTGACTGACTTGCTGTGAAAATGACCTCTAGATCTCCAAACTTAAGTATTAAGTTGATGAACTCTGCCTGGGGAGGTCTATATAAGGTCTTTGAAAAGTTCATGACAAAATGGTATTAAAATGTGAGCTCATTTTGGTGCAAAGGAAACTTTAAATTTCTGCAGTTTTTTTCATAGTATGCATTTTCCATGAACTTTCTGAAAGACCCCGTAATATAGGTTGGTGGCCTGTAGTGAGAATATGGCTGTAAGATTAATGAAACCATTTGATATCTTGTTACTTCTAAATTTATTACATTTTTCTAGAAAATCTTCCATGAATATAAAAATACTATTTTACATTTTCCTCTTTTCCTTTTGCTATTTTTTTTAAGAGAGATTTTTGCTATAGGGTGTATGCCCTCACCAGAGAGAGGAAAGGAGAGATCACTCCCTGGGGGGATGGCCATGCTGCAGTCCCTTCTCCATTCTCTTGGGATTTGGGGCATACACACATTAGTGTCTGGTGCGAGTTTTAAGCCACCAGGTCTGGGACTCGAACCACAGTCGACTACGTGGAAGTCCAGCAAAGTAATCATTGTCATCTGCTGGTTCCTTGCTTTTGTCATCTGCTGGTTCCTTGCTGTGTTGCTTTTGTTTTTGATTAGTTTGAAATTTAGGACTTGTCTTAAATTGACTACTTGGGCATGCACTTGATAGTGTTTTTTTTTCCCCCAAATGAACTTTTATTTAAGTCATGATTCAAGGTCCCAGGGTGGTACGTGGGTGGATCACCATGTATCCAGGTCCCATTTTGCCACCTGAGACAACGATGGAGGTCAGAGGAGAGGTGGGTGAAGCCAGTTCAGATCTTCCCCAGGTAACGTGTCTTCTGCCCCGTGGTCATCCCAGGTTGAAATCCAGGATATGGGACAGAGGGACTTGTGCACACGCCAGTACCATTCACACACAGAGATGTCACCCCCTTTAGCAGTCATTGCCTTCTCACGGCAGTGGAAGTCCAGGTAGTTCTTCCAGCAGTTCCTTGTCTGGTTCTGGTTGGGGAAAAGGCCGTCAAAAGGGACGGTCTTATAATTCTTGATTTTGGTCTTGATGTCTTCTTCCATAGTACTGACTCCTAAAGACGCCTCTGCAGCAGCTCCCAGCACAATGTGGCCCTCAGTAAAGACTCCAGAGTTGGACAGGAACTTGATATATGTTTTAAAGTAGTAGTATTCTTTTTTTTTTTTTTTTTTTTGGAGAGGTTTTTCGCTATAGGGCGTGTGCGCTCGCCAGAAAGACAGAGAGAAAGTGAGAAATCACCCCCCAGGGGGGATGGCCACGCCACAGTCCCTTCTCCTCCATTCTCTTCTCAGGATTTTGGGCACGCACGCACACGCGCCTGGCGTGAGTTTTAAGCCACCGCGTCCGGGACGTGAACTGCAGTTGACTACGTGGGAGTCCAGCGACATAGCCATTACACCAACTGCTGGTCCCCAAGTATTCTTATTCTTTACAAAAATTTAATTCTAGTCATAGATATTTCACTTAATAATGAGATCTTATGACTATCCTGTATGTACCATTAATATTTTTACCTACTTGAGACATTTCTTATTGGAGGAAGACATTAAACAACAAATGTGAGAGCATTTTATTTGAGTAGTAGGTATTGGTTCTTTCCTCTTTTTGTGTCACAGCGCTTTTTATTTTTATGGTAAGCCTATTTTTTTTTTGCCGTTAATTATGAGATGTTCACACCTGTAGAACCTATAAGCCATGTGATATTTACATTTTTAGTGGGATTTAGAAATTGTTGGTAATGAAGCTAGATGCAATGGTATGTAGTCTCAGGTTCTTGGGAGACTGAGACAGGAAGATCATGAGTTCCGGGCCAGCCCAGGGCAATATAATGAGTTTGTTTGTTTTATCTTTTTTTAAAATAAAAAGCGAAGAGGTACTTAACAAGGTACTTTGGTTTTATATTCTCAAGGCAAGTAACCAAAAGAAAATATAAAATGTTTCATTTTGCAACTTTTTGATTGGTAAAGGAAATTACAAAGAATTTTTGCTTTTTAAGAAATGGTGTCTCTTAGATTCAAAGTGGAAAAAGCAATAGCTGTTGAAATTTCCATGGTGTGTGTGACTTTGGAGCATTTTGCTTTTGGTTAGTTAGGTGGGGAAAACATTTTCCTCCCTGAATTGCTAAGATCAACCTTAAAGACATTTTCAAGTTTCTACCATAGGGGCATCATTGTGTAGAGGAAAATTTAGTGCATAGAGCATGGCTGAGTTAAAATACTGTACATTTGTATAGTTTTATTCAATAGTGCCTCCTCCACAGTAATATTAGTATAGCTTTTGTTTTACATTTGGTCTGCTCTGGATTCATAATCTCAGCATGAATTCTTATTTTAATAAACATTACTCTAAAACCTTTATTAAATCTGCTTTAACTAAAAATTTCAAAATTTGCACAGATATTGAACTGAAGTTTATTTTTTAAACTTTTGGGAATAGCAGTTTGTTCAAGTAGTTATAACATGTTGGCTTAGTCCATGTAAGAAATAACATTTAAGCACTTTTTTATTGAGAGGTTTTTGCTATAGGGCGCGTGCACTTGCCAGAGAGACAGAGACAGAGAGACAGAAAATGAGAAATCCCCCCCCCCCCGGGGATGGCCATGCTGCAATTCCTTCTCTTCCATTCTCCTCTTGGGATCTTGGGCAGGCATGCACGTGCGCCCGATGTGAATTTAAGTCACTGGGTCTGGGACTCAAATCATGGTCGACTACATGGGAGTTAGCTACATAGCCATTATGCCATCTGCTGGTCCCTAGTTCACTTAATCGAAGGTGATTGATCTTAACATTGTTCAAGTGGGGCTGGCAGGTGACATGGTGGTTAAGGCACAGGACTCCCATGTGGCTAATTGGTGTTTAAGTCCTGGACTTGGTGACTTGTTTTCTCATTTTGCATTTCTCTCTGTCTCTTTTGGGTCAAATAAAAAAATAATAACAACAAATACATAATTTTTTTAATGTGCATATATATATATATACACACACATATAGATACTAAAGTGGATGTATTCACTCAAAAAATAGGTGACCACTTTATTCAGGACACTATTCTAAGCTTTGAGAAAACAGCATCCTTTTCACATGTTCACATGAAACTTTAAAAAACTTTTTAATTGAGAAAAACATTTTAAAAATTAAGGTGATTGGGAACCAGCAGTTAGCGTAATGGCTATGTTGCTTGATTCCCATGTAGTCGACCACAGTTCACATCCTGGACCCGGTGGCTTAGAACTCATGCCGGGCACGTGTGCATGCGTGCCCAAGATCCCGAGAGGAGAATGGAGGAGAAGGGATTGCGGCGTGACCATCCCCTCTTGGGGGTGATTTCTCGCTTTCTATCTCTCTGTCTCTCTCTCTTGTCTGTCTGGCGAGCGCACGCACCCTATAGCGAAAAAAACCTCTCAAAAAAATTAAGATGATTTATGTGATAAATGCTTTGGCTAGAATAAAGCAGACTAAGGGAGTTAATGAGGATGTGGAGGTAGGGGAGTGCCCTAAGGTGTTATTATATTGTATAATATTTCTAGTGAATATGATTTAATATGGTAAAACTTGAGCAGAGATCTCTGGGCAAAAAAGAGAGCAAGTGGTAAAGGTATCTGGGGGAAGAAAATTCTAGGCAGAAGATTCTAGGCAGAAGGGACAGTAATATTAAGCACGTCAAGGAAAAGAACTTGGCATATGGGAGGCCTTGAAAAGGAGACATCAGTGTAGGTGAAGCAAAGTCATGCAGGGGAAGAACAGATGAAAAAGGGAATATAGTTCTATAATACACGTGTGCACATACATATATTCTGTACTATATGGTATCTATATTGTCATATTTATATATAGTATGTATATAAATATACATGTATGTGTGTGTATATATAATCTTTTGAAACTGAAATCTGTATCCTTATCTTCATTTAAAATCAGGCTTTTCTGATCCTGATCCTACCAGTTTATATGCAGGATGAAGAATATGGAAATTGCTAAAAAATAATTTATGATTTCCTTTTTTATTTTAAAATTTTATTTATTATTATTATCCTTCAATTTGGCCAGAGAGAGACAGAGAGTCAGAGAGTGAGAGTGAGAAAGCAAGCCACCAGGTCCAGAACTCTTAACTGTGGTCAGCCATGTGGGAGTCCAATGCCTATTCACCACCATGCCACCTACAGTTTCCTTTTAAGGTCTCTCTGGAAGAGAATGATTTGGAAATAAATAATGATAGTGTAAAAAGAAAATTATATAGTGTGGAATTATATTCCACTTTTAGTGACACTGGAGGGATATCAATGGAAGAAAGGACTTCACTGTAGAATTACTTTTGGAAAATGAATGTGAAATAGCAAGGTATATTACAAAATACTGGAAGAGCTTCTGTGTTGGAGGTAGGAATCAAGAAGGATATTGACAGTGACAGAATGTGTTGTCTCTATCCTGGGAACAGTGGAATCATTGAAGTTAGGCAGTGATAGTCATTATTGTGTTGCAAGTCATTCTTTTATTTTTCCTTACTGTGGAGTTCTTGTGTTCGCTGGAGAGTGCAAAAGAGAGAAAAAATGAGGAAGTATCCCCCAGGGGTAATGGCAATGCCACAGTCTCTCTTTGTTCATTCTCTACTTGGGATTTTGGCACGTGCACACATGTGCCTGGTGTGTTTTTCAAACCATTCGACCAGGAATCGAACTATAATCAGCCTTGAGGAATCCAGCCACCTCATCACATATTGATCCTGCATTGTGGGTCATTCTTTGGCCAGTTTAGAGAATGGTGAGGATGTAGAATTGATGAGACCCTAAGTTAGGTATTATTGGTATTGAGGTGGCTGGGGACTAGCAGGTGGTATGGTGGCTAAGGTACTGGACTCCCACATGACTGACTGTGGTTCTAGTTCTGAACCTGGCAACTTTCTCACTTTCCCTCTGTCTCTCTCTCTCTCTCTCTCTCTCTGGTGAGCACATGTGCCCTGTAGCAAATTAAAATAATGTTGATAATGATAAATCAGATTAAATAAATATTTTTAAAAAATAATTGAGGAAGCCAGTCAGAACAGTTTCTCATAGCAAGCAATCTTAATTGTGGAGTACTAATTGTGCATTGTAAGATAGTTCTCTCTCCCTCTTACTTAGTAGTAAATGCTGATGAAACCCTTCAAATGATGTGATAATCCCCCTTTCCAATTTCTGAATGTTCCACGGCAAGTGGTATTCTCTAGTTAAATAAATAATATTTGACCTCTGATATTGGTGGTGGGGTGGAATGGAAAGGGTAGATTTACTGGAGATTTAGGAGGAAGAACCAAGAAGATTCTGATGGGCTATAGGAATGTGAGCGAGAGAGCGAGCACACAAGAATATATATGTGTTTATGTGTTTAGGCAGTCTCTAGGCAAATATATATTTTTATGTATATAAACAGAGGTAGGAGTAGAAGCACCTTTGGGCAGTGTTTGACAAAGTTTGTGAGAGATTGAATTTTGAAAATAAAAGAGTAGGATTCAGGAACCAACAAGTGGCATGGTGGTTGAGTGCTGGGTTCCAGCATGGCCAACCAAGTCCCGAACCTGGTGACTTGCTTTCTCACTCCCTCCCATCCCCCACCCCCTGTCTCTGGTGAGCACATGTGCTCTATAGCAAAATAAAATAATAAATAAAATTTTAAAAAATTTTAAGCAAGAGTCTGAGTAGTAGAATTACTATCAAGACCATTGGGAGGAAGTTGTTACTCTGTAAGAACCAGATAGTTGATTAAGACAGACTCTGGAAAGATATGGAAGAAAATATTAAAGAATTTCAAAAAGTTTGTGGAAGAGTGTAATTTTTTTTAAATTTTGGAAATACATGCATAGTTTTTTTTTCATAGTACACATCCTAGTTTTGGAGTTCCTTCATGTAGAAATACAGGGGCCAGAAGGTGGCGTAACGGTTATGTCGCTAGACCACCCCACATGGCTGACTGCAGTTTGAGTCTCAGACATAGTGGCTTGAAACTCATGCTTGGTGGATGTGCGTGCATGCTCAAGATCTCTGGAGGAGAATGGAGGAGAAGGGATCACAATGTGATCAT